TACAGGGTGGAGAGAAGAGAAAGACATAGAGGCAGTGTGGGGCTGATTCAGTTTGTCATGTCCATTGATTTGTGAACATTTAACATTTAAATCTTTTGATTTCATATTATTAAAAAATGCCTATTCCTCATAACAATAAAAACAATGCAAGATGCTAAAGAAAAAGTTTATCATCTCCCTGCCCTCTTCTCTTACCTATGCTCAAAGCCAACAGACTGGGTTTGAATCCTTCCCTGCCTTTCACTGGCTCATATCTACACATACAAGCGTCTACACACATAGACAGATTTGTGTTTGCTTGCTTCTGCCAAAGTAGACTCTTACCATTCCTAGTATTCCTCAATTTGCTTTTGTTGCTTAATTATTCATCATGCCCGACTTATAAGTCAGTAGATGCCACTCTAACTATATCTTTCCTAATTTCTTTAATATAATTTTACCAAAAAATGGGATAATTCACACAGATTTTTGATGCAATCGTTTTTTTTCTTGTATATGCCTTTCCTTTCTATCTCTTCCTCTACCACCCTACCAAGTTTTAAATGTTTATTGGTACATTTTATTTAGATGATAAGTAGACCTATCACATGGGTATTTTTTCTCTTTGATATGTGGGAACTATATCTCTTTTGATTTGGGATGAGATAAAAGCTTTCAGTGTTTCACAGCCAAGGAAGATGAAAGGATTAAGTTATGATCATATATTATTCTGGAGATCTCTACTGAATGTGGTAAGGGTGATTGAATCTTGTGTTTTATTCCTTCATAAGGCATTCTTCACAGATTGTTAAGCAAGATAAACTCTCAAATATCTATCAACCTCAAATTCTATGATTTACAGTATCAATAAGCTTTTTTTACTCACTCGCTCACAAACTTGATTTACAATAGCCACTAGAGGGCAGTCGTGTTACAAACATGAGGCTGTTTACTGTTTTCACTGCGTTTTGATGCCCTGCTTATTAACACATCGTCCAGAACACAGACGAGGTTTAATAAATACTGTTGAAAAAATTGATCCTGATGGAGTCTTAATGATATCCCACCTTTCAAAGTCTGAAACCATGTTTGTTAAATTCAACCTAAAGATGGGATTGTTAACTAAATGATGTTACATGCTTGCCATGATGCAATACTCTGAAGCCATTGGAAATCACATGTTAAATGATAGTTACTTACATGAGAAAATGTCACTTTCAAATCCACTGGCATATACAATATTCTAAGATTCATCTTTGCCTCAAATTCTATATTTCTCTTTATTATTTTTAGTAGTTTCATGAGTTTTATATGGTGAACACCCTTGTACCTACCATCAAGATCAAGAAGTTGAACTTTGCCAGACATCCCAGATGGCCCTCCATTTACCCTGTCTTCTACCAACTTTCTCCTTTATCCCCAGAGTAACTACTGAGTTTCATAGTTATCACCTCCTTGCTCTGCTTTAAGTTGTATTACCTAAGTGCGCACTGCACCCTGAATACTATAGTTAATCTTGCCCATTTTTTAAAACTTGTTTTGTCTTCTAAGTCTCTTAATCTGGGTTTCCCCCTCCATCTTTTTATTTTTAATTCGAATTTAGCTATTGAAGAACCCAGGGATTTGACTGTAGAGTGTGCCCAAGTTTGAGTTTTGCTGACTACCCATTCCTGGTGAAGTTAAATATATTCCCCTGCCTACTTCCTGGACATGGGCAGCTGAATGCAGAGAGTTGATTAAGTTTCATCCCTTAGGGAGGACTATGGGTGCTATGGTGTTCTTCCATCAGAAGGCAAAGTATATCTGATTTCTTTCTTTTTGGGATGTGAGCAGCTGTAGATGCTCAATGCCTTGACCCATTAATTCACCAATGCATGTTACCAAATGGAAACAACTGGTTACCAAATGGAAATATTCTAACTTAATCATTTATTTTTCACTCATTTGTTGGGAATGCTTTTAGAAAGAGATCATTCCTCTCATCTCCCATTTGCTCCCAGGACTGAAGTCCTTAACCATTACGGTGTTTGGCTTCTTTACCACACCGCTATGCTATTTGCTCCTTCCAACTAGAGACTGCAAGGAGAAGGCAGTAAATTGAGAGGTTGGTAGGAAATTATTCAAAGAACAAAGCTGCTCATTGCTTCCTCAATGTTGGAGAAAAAGAAAGGCGTGAGTAAACATGTAGAACTAAGAGTCGATGGAACACTGTGAGGAACGAGAGAGTCCCTGGGGTATGAGTGGTAGCTGGCTTCCTACAGCCATGGTGGTCATGGACACAGAGAGGTGGGGAGGGACACATGCCCAGGAACTGCTCTTTCCACAGGTTCCCCAGTTGTCTGGACTGCACACTACAAGGTGGGAGTGATAGATTAGTCCCCCACACCAGAGTGAGGGGAAATAACATTCCTACACAAAGCCCTTAGGGCAAGGATATGTCTGTATTTTGCCTCCCAGCAGGGCACAAAGATGTTAAAGATCCTGGGTAATGAGTGGATGTGGGGATACCGTGATGCCTCAAGCCTATCAGTACACAATGTCATCAAAGATGTGGTTTTTAGGTTAAAAAAAAAAAACTACAGGCATTTCTGGGAATCTGAGATAAGCCATGGACTTCTCCACTGAAAACTTTGAAAACTATAAAGACTTTTTCACATTCAGTTTCAGGGATGTCACGTACCCTTATAGCTTAGTCATGAACAAACCACTGAAGTAATAATTTTCAACCTTGGCTGCACATTGGAGTCCCCTGGAAATGTAAAAAATACTGATGCTTGGGTCCCGCTCTATATCTTCAGGGACCCATAACATTTTATGGGATAGCAAGAACAAATGTCTTCAAGGACTAGAATCCCAGCAACTCCAGTAAGAGGCTGACCCCATCAGACAGAATATCCACACTCTTCAAACTCATATTTTTATTAGCATGGAGCCAGACAAAGACAGTGCTGCGTAGCTGAGTCTCAGAATCTAAGTAGGCATGGTCTCTCCAGTGGTAAGGATCTTCAAGATGCTACTGGTCCAACTTTACAGAGAACCAAGTACGCACATACCATCGTGAAGCTCTTTGAAAGATGAGAAGACACATCTTTACTTTCCATTGGAAGGTATTTTTAATAACACAGAAGGAATGAGGGACCAGTGACTAGCCCAGTGCCTGGCAATCAGAAGAGGGATGATCAGATGTCTGCTGAATATATATGGAAAGAACCTGGCAAGAACACCTGTGGTGAAAGAAGGAGCTGAAGGGACAGTGAGATGCTAGGGACACTGTTTCGAGTGTATTGAAAGAACATGAAGAGAAAACGAATGTGGTATACATGAGTGAAAAGATGGCAGTGTGTTCTCCCACGCTGAAAAGTTATCTCGAGGAAGGCAGAAATCATGTCTCCCTTCTTCGCCATTAAAGTGCCCAGTGGCCATCCCAGAGCCTGGAACGTTGTTATGCATGCTATCAATACCGGTTGACTATGAACCAGAGTCATCTGGTGTCCTTCTTTCCACTTCTCTTGTTCACCGGTGTAACGTATTTTTAAATTTCAAATTTTGACATATTTCAAAAATGGAGAAAATAGGACAACATGCACTCAATACTCCTCACCCAAATCTGACACAGGCCAACACTGCCCTTTCAACTTTTTTTTTTTTTAATCTAACACTAAGTGCCATTCCCTGTCAGACAATCCCCAAAACTTTAATAATAAACACATATCTTTGAGATGACACTGTCACCGTTCAAAATTGCTCATGTCAAGTTTAAGGTGAAGTACAGAAAGGCTTCTGAAAAAGTTCCAGAGCAGATTGGGGGATAAAGCAAAGTGAAACAATAGACCCAGAACATATACATATACATATACGTATACATATACATATATATATACATAGCATGCATGCATACATACACACATATTTAATTCAGTTTAGAGTGAGTAAAATAAAATGGCAGTATGTCTTAATGGTCAGATTAACATCTCTCTCAACTGTTCTCTCATATAGAAGTGGAAAAGGGCTGGGTATCACGCTTTTAGCCAAACAGTTATTAAGTGCTCGTGAAAATAAACAAAAAGTCCTCTCAGTCTGGGTTTTTCACTGGCTGCTTCCCTCACACCTCTGGGGCTACAGGAGCAGCCCCTATAAGCCCTACAGTGATGCAGAAAGATCACTGAGTAAGACTAGGACCTGAACCCTTCAGCCTTTCAACTGGGAGATACCTTCATACTTTCTTGCCAACTGAAAGCTGACAGACCTGCTTCTAAATCTCAAGCCCCAAGCGGAAGAGGAGGCCAAACATTAATTATAAAAAGTGAAAGAAGTGAGCCGAATATGAAAGCGGAGCCTACAAATAAGAACTCATTACTAGAAATCAGAGTCTTTCGGGGCTTTCTGATTCATTTTCAATTTCCCACGAGAACCTATAGAACCCTCTGCTATTCCTGTCCATTCTCTCCCCCCAGGAATTCCCCCTCCTGAAAGCTAATTTAGAGTGAGCCAATAGTTTACACCATTTGTCACCTAGACAAATTTACGTAACAGCTGCAAGATCATTCTAGGTCAGCAAAGTTCCTGCAAAGGTGAGAATAATTGTTATTAGGAGAACAGATCGCCACAGCTTTATGCACTGTTTAGATGAACTTCCTATTTGCTTCTTGGATAAAGTTTCCATTTTCAAAGCTCTGCTTTAAAAGGGAAGAAAGATAGCATCTGCCTGCAGATGGAGCCAAGAAAGTAACATATAGGAGCTGATGCTGAACTCAAAGTAATGGTAATGATATTAAGCAATTTGGATTTATAGGCCATTGACAATGACACATTTGTTTCTGATTTAAGTCAAGTAAGACCATTTTGTTTCTTTTCTGCTACCACATGCAACCTTTAAAAAAGAAAAAAGAAATATGTATGTATATGTATACACACACACACACACACACACACACATTTGGAGGGATTCCAGACTTCAGCATTTTCATGTCAATTCAAAAGAAAAAAGCAAGATGCATATCCTGATACGGTGATTGCACTTGTCAGCTGCTGTACTTACTACAGTTATTCAGACTGTGGTTCGGGTCACACAGGGAGTTACCACCACATGAATCAAGGCAGGAATTGTAGAGGCATCTTTGGTCGCCTTCTTGACATGGAGTCTGACCTACAGAGGGGGGAAAGGCACATTTGCTTTCATCATCTGTAAATTCCTTACACTAGGATTGGAAGTCTCAAGGACGTCTGGGGGAGCTGAGGAATGACATAACTTTAATTCCCTTCCAATTTCTCCAAAAATATTGAACACATGTTAAATATGTAACTTTCTGGGTTAATTTTCCTGGCAACTAAATACAACACGGTTATTCCAGAAGGATTCTGTAGGAACAAAAAAATAAGAGGCAACTTATCTACAAAACGGGATCTTGTTGCTTTTCATGGGGGAAGAAAGTGTTTTTTGTTTGCCTGGGTGAATAAGCTTGATTGCAAAATAAAATGTAAGTGACTGGAGAGAAAGGTCAACATAATGATCTTGAACTCTTGGATATCAAATGATATTATTTTAAGGACTCATTTGCACCCAACTCTAGTCTTCCCCATAAGGAAAATGCTTTCCCTAAAAATAAATATGGCATCAACACCAGTACGGTGAGGATACTCTGTCATGGTGCAAGTCTTGTGCAGCTGCGATCCATACTTTCTGTATGTCCTTGGAAAGTATCACTGGCCTAGCTGTGATGACCTGAGAATTGGGTTTCTTGTTTCCAAATGAATGAGAGCAGTAGCGTCAGCCTAATGGCTTTTCCTTAAGGTATGTAGAGAGGAAGCTTCTTTTCCCATTGATTCCCTGGTCATTTGTAGGTTAAATGGAAAAGGTAATAAATTACTGCCCGTTCTCTTTCTGGCTCTTGCCCATTATAGTCAATTACTTTCAGACATGTCATCGGGAATCTAGAAAATCTTGCAAGACGTTTTTAAGAATAAACAACAGTATGTGTATGCATATAATCATTCTTATCTATAATGTTCTCTATAATAAGATAATGTTTATTATACTGGACTCTTTCCATTAATGTGCAACAGTACATATCATAGCCTTGAAGAAAAGAGATGCCACTCCTTTTTTTTTTTTTTAATATCATCAGAGTCGAACCATCATTGCAAGGTAAACCAGGCTCATTTCCATGAGTTTAGTCTCTTAAATTTAATTTTAATAAGACAACATGCATTCATTATTTCAGCAGATATTGAGTGTCTGCTGTGTGACAAGCTTATGTGACAAGATAGACCATGAAGCATTAAAAGATAAAAGAAGTGAAATGGCTTATACTCTAACTAGGGGGATGGCCATGAACAGAGAACCTTACCATGCTGTGTGATTACAGTAACTGCTGAAGCTGTCTGTAAGGCAACAGAAGTGGACTAGGACAATGAAGGGAAAGCTTCTTGAAGGAGTTCTTAAGGCAGGCGGGTAGAGTTGGCATAAGAAGGTAGAATGGGTGTCCCAAGCAGACAACAGAATATGCAAAGGCTGGAGTGGAAAGAGCACAGGTTGGCCTCACTAGAGCCTCAGGGAGGCTAGACAGGAAGGCTGAGAGCAGAGCCTGAGGGCTGTAAAGGCCTGAATCCTGAGTAGGGCCCAAAGTCCTGGGTGGCTCCTACTTCCCTCCCCAACCTCTCTAGCAGAGCCAGCCTGGGCTTACTGGTGACAATATTCTTAAGTCGTACCCTCCCCTTCACTCCTAGATTTAATCATAGTGGCCTTCTCCCGAAACCCTCCATATGTCTTGCTCCTTTCCTCCCTGGGACCTTTGACCAAGCAGGTCCCTGGGTCTGAAAAGCTTTTTCCAGTCCCACTTTCCTTCATTAAGTCAACTCCACTCATTCTTTAGATCTTAGCTCCAACATCTCTTCTTCAAGGAACCTTCCCTGAGGCCCTGTACCAGGCCATTCATACCATATATGGCACGTGGCTCCCTGAATTTTCCCTCATGGCCTATGTCACTCCATGGAGTGAGACACTGACTTGCACAATTATTTGTATCATGCCAATCTTCCCCAGGAGCCTGCAAGCTCCATGAGCTGCTTTACTTGCCACTAAATCCCCAGTGGTTAACCACCTATGAGCACCATGACATGCATTTATTGAGTTGAATTCATTAGATTAAGTAATATAAAGATGATAAAATTTGACTTTTGATCCATTTTATCATATGACTTTCTTGCATCTCACATATGTAGGGAAATACTTTATGAATCTTGCCATTGCATAGTGAAGAATCCAAGATTATTTCAAACAGAGATGAATTATGGAGAAAGAAAGAACAATTTGATCCAAAGGGAGGTGCTTGGCTGGTATGCACATAATAACTCATGGCTAGAAAAGACTCTGCTTCTGAATTTTAAAACTGGTTAAAACGAAGCACCCTTTTATCTGACGTTATAGGTATTAAATCTGTGATTAAAAGTGTCTCCCTTTAGGTCTGGAATGCTTTTTCACTAAAGCAATTCTAATGATCAGTGTTTATTAAGACAAAACTAATTTGGCTACAGGTGACCAATCTCACTGGCCGATTTGCGAAATGCCCAGCCCAAGACATGTTTTAACACAACAGCCATGTAACAAGAGCTCACATTCACGGAGTGCTCACCATGGGCCAACTCTGTGAGGCAGTTATGACTCCGAGTTTGCAGACACAGAACCCGAGACACAACAGAGTTGAGTTACCAGCCTCAAGTGAATGAGATAGTAGGTAGCAGAGCTTAGCGGAGCTGGTGCCTGAACCCGGGCAGCTGGGCTCCAAAGGCCACCTGCTTAATGACTAGTCTATGCTGGTGAGTGGCAAGGTCACGGATAAACAAATGCAGTGATTTTTAAGTCAAGGGGTATTCCTAGCAGCCCTGTGCTGAGAGATGCTTCGACTCAAAGTGGGGCTTCAAACAATCAGTGTGGAACGGCAGTTTAAAAGCCAACTTATTTGACTTACTTCTTCTTTTCGAGTGTCACAGATGACAGCAGTGACCCTTTGCAGGTGGAGCTGACTATATTGCCCCATCACGTGAGACATGAACTGCTTCTTTGTGATGAATCACCAAACTCTACTCCTGAAACCGATATTACACTATATGTGAACTAACTAGAATTTAAATAAAAACTTGAAATAAAAAATAAGATGACACTGGAGCGCCTGGGTGGCTCAGTCAGTTAAGCGTCTGCCTTCGGCTCACGTCATGGTCTGAGAGTCCTGGGATTGAGTCCCACATCGGGCTCCCTGCTCAGTGGGGAGTCTGCTTCTCCCTCTGACCCTCCTCTTCCCGTGCTCTCATTCTCTCTCTCAAATAAATAAATAAAATCTTTAAAAAAAGAAAAAGAAAGTGCTTCTCTGAACACGGTTATTTTAGGAGGCTTTCACATTTAATTTCAGAAGCCAATTCCTCCTAATTGGAACCCAATCTAATTTAATGGAATACTACGTACTCAGCTTTTCCTTTATCATCGTGTTGACTTTCCCCAAAACCGTTAACTGAATCTCCCACGCTGTGTAAGTGTTCAACCTCCACTGTCTCCCCTTAGGAATGATTGTGCAGTGTACGATGCTCGAGCATTCTATTCACCAGGAGAAGGGGTTTCCGGGCCGGCCAGTGCTGTGAGGAGCGCTGCGCCAGGAAATCTGGACCGATGTATGGGGGGATCGCACTGAGCATTAGGTAACCGCCAAGGTTTTGCTCTGTTCCCCAGGAAAGGCCCGACAGGCAGGAATGCGCGGGGCAGGGGACGCACACTTACTCTGGCTGCAATTCTCCTCGTCAGTGCCGTCCCTGCAGTCCTCGTCCCCGTCACACTGGAAGGTGCTGGGGATACACTGTCCACTCCGGCACTCGGCCAGACCTTGGCTGTGGCAGGCTGCGGAAGGCCAGAACAACAGTCCGACAGTCATTGTACCGTCTGGTCCTTCTCGCCGTCTGTAGAGCCTATCGAGATGCCCGCTTATCTGGCATCACCGAGAAAGGAAGTGTTCGGAATATCTGCGTGGTCTGCAGAAGTGAAGGAGTGTGCCATCAATGTGTTTCATCCCAAGGGTTTTTGGGATGGAAAGTTTTCTTTCCTGACTCTCCCCTGCCTTATTAAATAGCACTTACTAAGGAATTAACTTTTTCTTGATAGGGTGGGGTAAGAAATTGTGTCAATGATGTTAATGATCTGCAGCTTTACTGTGCATATAAAAACTACGATTTACTAAAGGCTTGCTACACGGTGATAACTGTGCTGGGAGTGTTATGTATCGAATCTCAAATCCTCATAACGGATTTGCAAAAGAGGTATTATCAACCTTGTTTAGAATAAGGAAGTTAAACTCTAGAGAGTTTAGCGACTGTCTCGAAGTCACAAGGCTGTTAAAAGCTGGTGCCAGAATGTGAAGGCAAGCTTCTCTGACTCTAAGCCCAAACATTTCATTTTATTCCAACCCAATCTAAAGGGCCAATGAAACAACTTATGTGAAAGAACTTGCTTAATACCCTGCACCCAATAAACACCTTATTTCAAAACTTGCTTATGGCACCTGACATTTGAAAGGGGTGGTCTAGTGGCCACTCACCTTCCATTCCTGAAGGTTGTCTAAATTTTATCACTATTGTCCTTTAGAGCATCAGAAACCCATGTATCCTGTGGCCTCAGCCTTCACTGTTACTGCCTAATATTAAATCTCCTTATGCTTGAACCAAGGCTCAATGCCAGAATCGTTATACTTGAGCACCATGTTCTTGCTTTCCCAAGATGCACCGAGATATAGTCCACTCCATTCCACTATGTCCACCAACAAGGACTCAAGTGATATTTCCAGTTCCAACTCAATTCAGGAAGGGGAGAGTTGGGCATTGCACTTGCTAATTAATTTAGATGACTTCTCTTATGTCAAAATAAAAATCACGCAACCCACATTTCAATTTTTGCCTCATATTATAGGCAAGTTAAATATTCAATCTCATATGTATCAACTTTGTTAACCCTTAGCAAAAGATGGAATAAAAACTTGAATTAGTTTGAACATGCATAAAATGTATCATTTTAACTCAGGTCAATATTGCTCTTTTAACACCTAGCTTCAAGATTCAAGGCTGTTTACTCACCCAGAAACACAACAGCCCGTAAAGTTATAATTATTATTGTACATTCTATATAACTCTATGAGCTACGAAGGTTTTCTTCTCTCTGGCAATTCTCTCCATATTCTCCCACAAATGGTACCTGAGAACATGTATGGAGGCTCCTGCAAGGAAGCCTAACTGCTCATATAGAGCAGAAAAAAAGTCCCCCAATCTTTGGGAAGAACATCCCCTTTGACAAAGTCACAGATGTGTGGCCAGTGACAGAGAAAATAGACACCTGCTTGGCCAGAGCAGCCAAATTAAGCTTGGAGTTGTGGGGAGAGACATGTGGAAGCCAGATACATGACATTTGTCATCACACCGCTTAATTATTATCTTTATAGATTACAGCCAAAGTATAACAATCTTCCGTTTGAATGCTGGATACCGTATTTGTCTAACCAGGCAGAAATGAAAAAATAAGTAAATGGAAATCATCAGGGAACTCACAGCAATTGACCTCATCAGACTTATCCACACAGTCATGGTCACCATCACACACCCACTCTATCGTGATGCAGCGCCCATCTCCACAGCGATGCTCCTTTGTGGGATTGCAATCTGGAGAAAACAGAAACTCGTAGGGATATGGAGAACCAGCATGACAAACACTTAGAACTGAATGACTCATAGCTCCAGCTGAAGAGAGTCTGTTCCAACTGTTCCAATACCCTCAATACTTTTTCTATGATGGATCTGGAACAGTTAAAATGCCACCTCCTGCACAAGCATGTGACCCACTGGCCACCATCTCTATGGGGTCAGACCTGTCTGTTTTTCAGATGAGTAATGACTGGCCAGCTTTCTCAGGACCTATAGTTGTTCCTGTTTTTTGTTTTGTTTAGTTGTTGTTTTCTTTCCCTATGAAAAACGTTTGATTTTCACATTGGCTAAAATAAACAAAACTGTGATGTAGGTTTCACAATGTAGATAGCTGATTAGATATATTTGCAACAACTCTATCACGTTTCTAAGAATTATAACCTACCTCTCTATAGTAAATTAGGAAGGCAGCTATCTCCAGTCATCTTTCCTGACTCTAAGCTCAGGCTTTCTATCAAACCATCTTAATATATACACTCATATTGGGAAAAACTGCTGGATGAGAAATGCAGGATACTTATATATATATGTATTTTTTTCATGATTCTTTTTAGCCTGGATTTAACCTCTCCCCCAAACTACACATTCCTGGATAAAAGGGGGAATTAAGTGATGTTTCTTCTCACAGAGAATAGAATCTATAGGATTCTTTACCATGAGATGTGGAATAACCTTAATATAAATAACCCTTTAAAAGATATGTGTGGGGGCGCCTGGGTAACTCAGTCGTTAGGCGTCTGCCTTCGGCTCGGGTCGTGATCCCAGGGTCCTGGGATTGAGCCCCGCATCGGGCTCCCTGCTCCGCGGAAAGCTTTCTTCTCCCTCTCCCACTCCCCCTGCTTGTGTTCCCTCTCTCACTGTGTCTCTCTGTGTCAAATAAATAAATAAATAAAATCTTAAAAAAAGATATGTGTGAATAGTCAAATTGTGGAAAGAGCTGAGATGTTCAACAATAGATGAATGGATAAAGATGTGGTATATATATATATACAATGGAACATTACTCAGCCCTCAGAAGGGATGAATACTTACCATTTACATCGATGTGGATGGAACTGGAGGGTATTATACTGAGCGAAATAAGTCAATCAGAGAAAGACAATTCCATAGTTTCACTCATATGTGGAATATAAGAAACAGCACAGAGGATCATAGTGGAAGGGAGGGAAAACTGAATGGGAAGTCATCAGAGAGGGAGACAACCATGAGAGGCTCTTAACTCTACGAAACAAACAGGGTTGCTGGGGGGGAGGGGTAACTGGGTGATGGGCATTAAGGAGGGCATTTGATGTGATGAGCATTGGGTGTTATATGCAACTGATGAATTACTGAACACTACATCTGAAACTAATGATGTACTCTATGTTGGTTAATTGAATCTAAATTCAAAAAAAAAATACTCTGGTTTCTCTTCAGATCGCATAAATCTTTCGCCTTTTAAATTAAAAAAAATAAAGATAAATAAATAAAAGATATGTGTGTATTCATGGATGACAGATTCAATACTGGGGAACTATTATGAGTATCCATGAATAGTGCCACTGTCACTGATAGACTCACAGAGTGACCATGAATCTGAGAAGGCACATTGGAACAATTAAGTAAGGTATATGGAAGATGGGAGTGCAGAGAAAAGAAGAAAGACAATAGATGGGATGCCCGTGCAGAAACCAGAAGAACCAGCACATGCTCAGCCTGCTAATGATGGGCAGCTGGGGCAGAGACTGGTCTAAGGGAAAGTTGTAATTATTACCATTCCATAGGGCAAAATCACCCTAAGAGCGCACTTTGTGATATCCTACTATCTTCAGAGGAAATATGTTGAGTGGTAAGACCATTCTTTATCACACAGTAACTATACCCTGGCCCTCTCCACTGACCTGTCCAACTACCAAGCCTTCCACCCCGTTCCCCACATTCCCCCCCACCCCCGCTCTTTTCTCCAGTGGTCTCACTGGTAAAAGGAGGGCTTGGATTAGATCATCTATAAGGCCTCTTCCAACTAGAAGGTCTGTGATGTATAAAATTAAAATGGCCTCTCACTCTTTGTCCCACAATTATTCAGTCCCAGAAGGCAATCCGTATCTACCTAGTGACTTCTGGGATGATTTGTACATATACATATTTCCAAGATTTTTATGGATACAGTGAGAGGTAGTTGGACAGCTGCTTCTAGAAACAAGCTAGTTTCCCAGTATGCCATTTCTGAGACTTGCCACTCCAAGGCATTACTCTGATTCTTCCCCAACATCCACTTCAATATTCTCTAATTGTTAAATATTATTTCACACCCTTTTTCCAGGGCACCTCCTCATCTAAGCTTGCCTTGTTGTTCATATTACAAAGTCCTCATGTCACTCAGTAATATACTACCTAAAAATTCTAAAGGTAACCACAAAGTCAAAAAGGTAAATAAGCAAAAGGAATTTTGCTGCTTTTTAATTCATGAGATGCCATTCACAACTGAACACAACTCTTTAAATAGTAGGTTCATTCTTTTATTTATTAAGATATAATGTGCTTGGCGGGAAGCTTTCTGCTCCCTCTCTCACTGCCCCCTGCTTGTGTTCCCTCTCTCACTGTGTCTCTCTCTGTCAAATAAATAAAATAAAATCTTTAAAAAAAAAAAGATATAATGGACATAGAACAGTGTGTGTGTTTATGCTAAGTGAGATAAGTCAAAGAGAAAGACAAATACTGTGTGATAGCATTTATATGTGGAATCTTAAAAAGCCAAATTTGTAAAAACAGGGAGTAGAATAGTAGTTACCAGGGTCTGGGGTGGGGAATTAGGAAGATGTTTATAGGTACAAACGTGTAACTAGTAAATAAGTTCATTTTTTAAAAGATAAGATCAGATTGTGTACATAAAATAAATGTGCTTGTCCTAACCCTAGGTGTCAGTTCTACTGAAGTTGTCCCTGCCGTGCTTGGCAATCAACTAAAGGAGGGGTCTTTGGTTGCATATAATAAGGGCATCAGACACACGACAATATATGTGTCTGCATAGTTTTGCTCAAGAGCTCAAAATCTAAACATGAGCCACTGGCTCTAACCAAAGAAGAAATAGAACACTCTCAAGGAGAAAAAATTACTAACATATTAACAACTGTTACCCATCTTTCCACTCTACTTCTTAAGCACTTCCTTATTATGACTTTATATAAGAAATATTACATTTACACATAAGACATTACTGAGACTAGTAATTGAAAAAACCTCCTCTTTCTAAAAATTAAGAAACCAACCATCTTGTCATTTAATCTTCTAATCACATTAACAAACAAGGGGCTATGGGTTCTGGGTTACACATTTCTGTAACTTTCAATGAAAACCTTAGGGAGACAATGCTACTTACCACAGTTCTGCTCATCACTCAGGTCCCCGCAGTCATCGTATCCATCACACACAAGGCTGTAATTAAGGCACTTGCCCGTGTGACAGTGGAACATATTCTCACTGCAATCTGTACATAAGAGAAGCCACTGATGTGTCATCAGAGCAGAACAGGGTGTTAAAACAGTACTTCATTTAACAAAAGCATATCCTGGGAGGCAAATCATAATGGTAACCAGGTCCACATCTACTGTTGTACCAGTGAGGAGACTGTGGTACAGAGAGATCCAAGGTCTTGCTCAAGGTCACATAACAAGTGACTGCAGAGCCAGGACTAGGACCCTCTGGCTTCCAAGCCAATACTTCTATCACTGTCTGAAAGTCTTTACTTGATATCCACTTTATGTTACCCAAAAGCTCCTTTATAGTCAACTATGAGCACAGACACTCTCAACTCACCATAGTTCCTAATAAAGTTCATGTTCATACAGAATGAATGACTTTTAATAGAAGGTGAGCAGTTATTTTAAAATAAAAGTCTGGTTTTATCAATGATAAGCCCAAACATAACTGAGAGAAAAAATTATTGAGATGATAAGGTTATTTTCACACAAAATCACTTAAGTCAATTGAGTGTTTCATAACAGGACCCTCAAGCAATACTGGACTAGATTACAGTGGCAAGATAAGACTAAGTGATATCTGACCTCAAGGAGCTTAAGGTTTTATATTGAAGTAAGCAACATGTGATGAAATTTTAATAAGATATTTCTTGTACTTGGGTAAACCAGATACTTGGGTCTCCTGGTTCTGCCATCTACCAGCTGTGGGAACTTAGGTGTATTAGTTAAAATCTATGAATCTTCAAATTGATTTATGAAATTAGGATAAGGTCAATTACTTAATAGGGTTTTGGGGAAGAGATTAATAAATGTGTGTAATGTAAATGAATATGTGTAAGATGCCAACACAATTCGATGGAAAAATAATACTCTTCAACAAATGGTGTTGGGACAATTGTAAAGTCTGGCTTTTACCTCAAAACTTACAAAAGATTATCTCAAAGTGGATCACGGACTTCAGTGTAAGAGCTAAAATTATAAAGCCTCAAGGAAAAAAAATAGGAAAAAAATCTTTTTGACCTTGGAAGAATTCTTGGATGTAACAAATTCTTAGCTATAACAACAAAAGCACAAGCAATTAAAAAATAGTAACAAATGGACTTTATTAAAGAAATATATTTGTGGGATGCCTGGGTGGCTCAGTAGGTTGAGCATTTGCCTTCGGCTCAGGTCATGATTTCAGGGTCTTGGGATCGAGTCCCTCATCTGGCTCCTTGCTCAGCAGGGAGCCTAATTCTCCCTCTGCCTGCCACTCCCCCTGCTTGTACTCTCTCTCTGACAAATAAATAAATCTTAAAAAATATATATATTTGTGCCTCAAAAGATACTATTAAGAAAATGAAAAGACAAACCTCATACTGAAATAAGTATTGCAAATCATGTATCTGATAAAGGACTTACATCCAGAGTATACACAGAACTCCTATACTCAATAATAAGACAACTCAATTACAAGTACACAAAAGAGTTGAATAGAAAATATTCACAGAAGACATACAAATAGCTAATAAGCACATAAAAAGGTGCTCAATATAATCAGTCATTAAGGAAATGCAAATTAAAACCACAATTAGGTATTATTACATATCCCCTAAGATGGCTATAATAATAATTTTTAAAAAACAAAAATACCAAGTATTGGCAAGGATTCTGAGAAACTGAAGCTCTCATATATAGTTGGTGGGGATGTAAAATAATAATGCCACCTTAGAAAGCAGTACAGTGGCTTTTCATAAAGTTAACTATAACCTTATCATACAATTTATGAATTCCATCCTTAGAAAGCTACCCAAGAGAAAGGAAATATACATCCACACAAAGACTTGTACATAAATGTTCATAGTAGCATTATTTATAATAGCCAAAGACTACAAACAGTCCAAATGTTCACCAGCTGGTGAATGAATAATCAAAATATAAAATACTGAAATGATGAAATACTATCCAGCCATTAAAAATATGACACTTTTGATATGTGTGACAACATAGATGAACCTCAGAACCATTATGCTAAATAAAAGAAACCAGATACAAAGGCTACACATTGTATGATCCATTTATGAAATTCCTGGAAAAAGAATACTTACAGAGACAGAAATCAGAGCAGTGGTTATCTGTGGCTGGAGGGTTGGGAGTGGGGACTGCCTACAAACAGGTGGGAGGGAAATTTGAGGGGCAATGCAGAAGTTCTAGAAATAGATTGCAATAATGGTCATACAAATCTATAAATTTACTAAAAATCAATGGGATAACATATGGTATGGATATTGTACTCAATAAAGCTTTAAGAAAGTTTTAAGTTAATATGTGTAAAGAAGCCTACATTTAATAGAAATGAGATTTCTTTTTTTTTTAAGATTTTATTTATTTATTCATGAGAGACAGAGAGAGAG